GGCATTGCATTTCTTGGGCTGAACTGATTCTTCTCGGTCCTGTGTTTTGCAGATAGGGATCACAGATTTCATGTGCGCGTTTTCAGGGAAAGGCAAACCGACGTCTTGGCTGAATCCCAGGGAATGGGGTGGGTGGCAGAGTTTATATATGCGCTGGGGGTTGATTTGGCTCTAGCTGCTGTGTAAAGTTCATGTTGGCAGCTGAAAGATGCAGCGAGAAGCACTTTCAGAATTAGAGACAGTGAGGTAATGAGAAAGTGACATAGGAAAGGAAGTGGTGGTGGGGAGGGGAGGGCTCAAAACGCGCCTTGACATCATCTGATAGGTTTTCCAGCCTGTGCAGCAGCTATTTTTATGCTTTCAACTCACAGTATTTACAGCTCAATGACAGCCAACTTGCCAAAAGTGGGGGTGGTGGTATATCCCAGAGTGGGCTGAGGGACTGAAGAGCCGCTCAAAAGCTGCGGCAAAGGTCCAGGTTCCCAGGCATGCCTCCTGCTGTTGCCTTTTTTTTTTTTTTAATCTGCATGGTGGCTTACCTGTGGCTACCTGTCATGTGTAGGGGGTTTCTGAATGCCGACTGGCAGGACTAGCTGTCACCAGCTAGTTGAAAAGATAGGAGTATGTCATCTGAAGGCTCTTCCTGAGAACTGGAGAAGCAAGAATGTACAGTGCTCCCAGCCTGGTGTTTCTACCCCTTCCTGAAGGTCACTGTTAGTGGGAGGCAGGATCCTGGGAATATCCAAAGCAAACTCACATTACATAAATGTGATCCTTAGCGGAGAAAAAGTAAGCGACGCACACATCACTGTGAAGTCTGTATTTATTTTGAAGTATAAACCGAATAGAGTCAACAGACATGAAAGCTTTACAGTGATGTAGGTGCAGCGTTCTGTTATTTTTTCAGCATTTATCTGCGTGCTAGAAATATCAGAGACAGATCTTCAAATGTAGTGGGCTCATACTTCTTTCTGAGGGTTCATCTGGCTTAGACCTCGACTGAGATCTTTCTCATGTTGCCTGAGTGAGCGTATATTGCAGCTGCTTGCCGGTTTTCTGCAGTACGTTGTTTATATTTCGTCACTAAATTATGTGCATGCAAATCCTTGCAGGCATGGTGTTGTCGGAGAACATTATTACTGGGGGAAGAAAGACGGGGAACCCGCATTGAGCTGCAAGGAGGACTGGAGGTGAAAGGAGGAAATAAATGCACATTTAAAGTTGGTGGAAGGGGGTTTTAAGCACATTTTCTGCCTGCTCATTAAATTCAATTTAAAGAGTATATTAATTTCTTTGGATAAAACTAATGATGCAGTTTTGTGTTACAGCTGAACTGATCCAAAATCTAACCTATGTCAAGACTGGGGGGGGCTCTCCCTTCCCAGCTGTGTTCGCCAGCCACCAGCTGTGGACCTCATCCCACCTGTTGGTAATGATCTTTTGTAGATTGAATTAGCTCACTAAGATACCAGAAGAATGTCAGAAGTGGTATTAAGTGGTATGAAGGAGGCTAAGAGGGTGCCTGGCTGGGAGAAGGTGAACTGGGAGTGATCCTTTTGGCCGTAGCAAGCTTTAAGCTGTAGGACCTTGCAGTTCTGATGCCTGATTTGCACAGGCAAATTTTTCTGTGGTCCTGGAATTTAAAGGTCAGGTATCTACAGCAGGGTTAGAACTTAACCTGGAGATAGTTCACTCTTCCATATTTCTCTTCTGGCACGGAATGGGAATTTGAAAAAGCTGCTGCTTATGTGCTGCCTTGGCTTTTGAGGGTAGAAAAATAAAAGAAGAGAAAGTTAATGAATTCATTCAAATTCATTCAAAATAGTAAGTAATGATAACTGACATTTAAATACAGGTATTGCATTCTGTGCCCACCAGGGCTCAGAACTAGCAGCAGTATCTGTGCAAGCCATATGTGCACCTGATGTTTATTTCTGTGTGAGGGTCTAAATAGTAATGCAGCATCTTGAGGAAGAATACATTCCCACAGTCTCTATCTCATTTCACACTTGAAAGTCAAAGGATGTAAGGCTCACTAGATATCTCCTGGGCAGGTCATCAAAATTGGGCTCGATGTTTTCCAAAGCAGAAACCTGTGGCAAATACCTGGGTCCTGTTGGTAAAAAGGATCTTTCTGCCAACACCACTGCTGCCAGTTCCAGGGTAAAGGTTGTGGAAGACACTGAATGTGGGACATACATTGGTGTGGGTTGATCCTACTGTTCTGGAATGGTTTTCAGTTCCAACTGAAACTGTTGTTGGAAATCCTGCCTCTGCCATCAAACAGACCCGCCCATCTACCCTGCTGATTTCCAGAGTAACTCAAGGTTACTCATCAGCCCTTACTTCTTCTTACAGTGCATTAATATTTCTGTCCACGTGACCGTTGATCAGACTTTCAGATCTCTTACCAGTACATCAGGATCCAATATAACAAATTAAACTTTTGTTTAACTTTTTGATGCTCATGAACATCTGGCAGTAGCGTCAGTGTTTCATACAAGACAGGTTGCTCTTGGTCTTTACTCATCTATCAGGTTCCATATTTTGCAAGGAGGTACCCCACAGGTGCTTGCTCATCTGTTGAAGATATCCTCCAACCTGGGCCCCCCGGAGTTTATCTTCTTACAGCGTGGGGGACATTATCCAAGTGCTTTTTGGAGTGTTCTGCCCCATCTTTTTCTGGTTTGGGTAATTGCTCCTTTCAGAACACTGAATAACACTGTAGGACAAATTGGATGCTGTAGGACAAAATTTTAGAATATCTTGCTCAGCAAAGAAAAGATTTATCTGCCTACCATTAATCCAATCAGGTGTTTTTCTTTCCAAGCTGTTTTCTACATAGGAAGAAAGAAAGGTGTGTCTGCATCCGTATCTGCAGCTCTGCAATAACGCGTTGAGAGGATCAAATCTTCATCAAATTGGAGTTGTCAATCATAACAGCAGAGGATTGGTTATATCATCAGATTGTCAAATTGGCTATGTATTTCATGTATTATTAGCTACTTCAGTTCTGAAAGTTTTCTTCATCAGAACTCGGGCAATATCTTAGGGCTGTTTTGGCGATACCTGGGCATTGGTGAGTCATAGATGGACAGAGCAGCTCTGGGCTCATCTGTTTATGCAGTAATTTGACTTTATTGGCCAAAGTTCATTGTGAAACTGAACCTTTACCTGACTTCTACAAATCCTAAATTTAAGATGAGAGTTTGTGTTGAGCATACATTGGTAATTTAGGACTAGTGCGATTATGGAGCTTTGGATTATTACCAGAGGCATTTTTTTACCCGTAGGAGCTTGAGAGTTTGGATTCTTTCCCGACTGAAGGTTAAACCTTTCAAAATAAGAAGAGTGCTGTTGAAGGTACTCAGAAATGTCACTGATGCCATCTAGCATCATTATTTAGTAAACATGTAAAATTCTGTATATTAGTTTTTAGATTGTAACCTAAAAATATGTTAGATTGTTTTGTTCCCCTAGTGCAGCTTATGGCAGAGTTAAAGTCATGCTTTTTAAATCTGCTTGAACACCACCTTTCTTAAATACTAGCTTCGTTATTAGAGACTTTTTTTTTCCCTGTGGTGGTTATTCCAACCTTGCTTTATAAAATGACTTGGCTGCCCCAAACTATTTGGAGATGAGAAATTTTTATCTTGATTGGGGACGACGGGGGGGGACAGAGTATGAAACGGAGACTGTTCTTATAAAGTATTCACCTTTTTTATTTTTGCAATGTCCACATGGCTATCTTTGCTTCAGGCTTGTAGGATGACACCGATTACTATTCTTTTTTTTTTTTTTTTTTTTTCTGGAAAGATACCAGAATACTTTTTTTCAGGTATGCGTATTCATTGGACAGCTATATTTTTTTTTTCCTTTCTTTTTTTTTTTCCCCTCAGACTTCATTGCACCTTTTCTGATGCATGCTTAGCGAGATTAAAAACCGACAAAGCCACCAGCTGTACTGGTAAGAGCACTCCTGGCTGTTGCTCAGATGGAGCGTGCTATTCCCTGGCCACTTCCAGTACCACGCTAGGCAGTATGTATAGCCAAAGTTTGCCAGCCATACAGCATCTGTTCACGATGCACATTAAATAAGCTCCAGATAAGACGACTGCCTCCATACAAGCACAGATTCTGAAGTTTTGGCACTTGCAGTAGTGGGTTATTGATTGGGGGCTGCCGATTATCTTCAGGTAGGTGTTTGTACTAGGTTGGGAGAAGGGATTTAAGGGAAGAAGCAGCGAGCATGCATGCTTGTCCAGAAGTAGCCTGCCGTTACCTGTATGCGATCACAGAGCAAATGCATATGAGAACTCCGTTTCCCGGATTATCAGTTTAGCTTTCTCCACAACTAAAATTCTATTTCTAATAGTTTAAACGGGAAGGGAGAAAAGGCAGCGTGGCTTCTGCGCTCAGGGAGGTGGTGGTGGTGTTCTCCTCGCTGTGTGCCCGGCGTGCTTACAGTCGGGAGGTGCAGGGGGAGAGAGGGTAGTGCTCAATCACATGATATTGCCTGTCTGGCAGGTGTCTGTAGTGTGAGTAGAGAAACCAACTGTTCACTATTTTGGGTGAATGAGGTTGGCTGTTACTGCAAGTGGCCCCACGAAGAAGTCCACGCATCTGTTGATAAAGCACCGCTCTGCGTACTGGGATCTTGAATGCTTATAGCCGCTTGCTGAAACGGTGAAGTTTCTGTCTGAGCTTTGAGATAGTAGGAAGAAGAGTTTTACCAAGAGCCTTGCTGATTTTAATCTTTAGATGTTGGCTGTCAGGATTTCTCTGTGCCTCGAGTACCTCTCTGTTCCTGTGCAAGCACAGCCTTGGAATCTAGCAGTAAACTAAATTTTTTTTCCACTCTCCTGCTTGGTGCAGTGACGGAAACCTGGTAGAGAGGGATTGTGGCTGGGTCTCTTGTGAGGATTAAACACCCCTTCCACTAGCCTGGAACGCCTCCTGTGTTGCAGAATCTGCCTTCAGGTCCAGGGATTTCCTCTAATATGTTGGATAAAGCCAAGACACTCCAGCCTGCCTATGTCGGGATTGTGCCGCTTGCAGAGACTGTGTCAAAGCAAGGGAAGAGCTGTTCAAGCACGTATCAGGATTCATACCACAGCTTACGAGAAGGTTAGCAGGCTCCGCGTTCTTTGTTGTAGGCACTGTATAATTGGTTTGTGGGTTGGGTTTTTTCCTTTTTTTTTTTTTTTTTCTTTTTCCTCTCCCCCTTCCCCCTTGCATATTGAATCGGACTGCTTTTTCTTTTCTGGGCAGGAGTCCAGATTTTGGGTTTCCCACTGACTCCTGTGACCTCTTGTCCCTGAGGGCGCCCATAAGCATGTTACAGGACAAGGCTGGAGCTCTGTATGTAGTGACTTGCAGTGCCTGGACCTTGGGACGATTTCACTTGCTTTTGGAAGTTTTAATTTCAGAGTTTAACTTTCTTCCTCTCCTCTATGTCTTTAGGGCTCCTGTGAGCATTGTTTTAAGGCTCTTTTATTAAAGGTGTACTCTGCCTTGAAGGAGATAGAGTATTATGTTTTAAGTTTCAGTATGTTGCTGTTTGGAGAGTGTGGAAGGAGTAGGGTGTGTATATCTAAATGGGATTCTGTTTTAGATAATGGTATTCTCCTGCAAATATATGTGACTTTTTTATGGGGGTTTGACAATTCTGAAAGATTATGTAGACAGATAGAGGTCAAATTTCACGGAGTGATGTCTATGAGCAAAGATCTGGAGGGACTGAGAAAAGATTGAGAAGCTGAAAACACAGTGATCCATTCATAGTCTGCAACATAACAAATAGCAACAAAGAGGAACCAGGAAAAGATTTCAGGGAAGAATGGCAGAAGATAACAAAATGCCAATGGCAAACACAACCAGATTTATGTTTTATCAGAAATACTGGATCCTTCTACCTACAGGTGAGATTTTAATAGGAACTTGCAGAAGTGAATGAAGATCTTGAACACAGTGGCCTCAGAAGTAAGGTGATGACAGATTTTGAGAGTGAGTGATGTGATCTGAGAGGAGTGGAAAATGATTTTCAGCAACATTTTGGACAGAAGAGTAAAGTTAAAGGGTGGTAGGAGTTGAGGACAAAAAGCCAGAGAGAATAAGGCCATGTTTGTTGCAGAAAGATGGCCAGCGTGTGGAAGACGATTTTAGCAGTTGCATTTAGAGGATTTTTCTCTCATAGGCAGCTCTAGGCCTGCTGAGGCTGCCAAACAAAACTGTTCCGTTTCTACCCCTTATTGTCACTCCCCCCACCAAGCCTCTTTAACAGATATCAAGAGTTAGCTTGTTATTAGATTTTTAAAATACTACTATTTTTGTTGCTTGTTTTCATTGGAATACTCTTCGTTGAACAAATACGGAAAAGGAAAAGAAAACTGAACTCACCGTCCTCAAATTCAAGTTTGGGAGTCATAAATCCATTAGTATAGGCAGTATTCCCAGATTACTTTGTCTCCTCTGGAGGCAAAGAACTGCAGCACATCAATCTTTGGAGGAAAAAAACAAACCAAAATAAAAAAAGCCAGAACTTGCAGCTGTCTCATATTTGCAAGGCATTGATTTTCACAGAAGGTGAGCACTCTGCACTTGGATGTGCCAGGATACATCTTTCATCCAGTCACTAAACATCACAAGCTCTAGAGTAGCATAACATGTAGAAGGAGGAAGATGCAATTCTGTAGTACTTTAATCAATATAAAAATGTTTGTTGCTGTCTCAAGTTGAAGAGAATGAAGGTCATTGAATTCTTGTATAATTCTGATTATTGAAAAAGCTGTGTTGACTCTGCAGAGTCTAGCAATATCATCAGCCCACCCTGTGTCTAATTCATAATACTCTAATACCACATGTAATGAGGGAAGCTGCTTTCTACCAGCTACCAAGCAGGAAGGGTAGGGAAGAGAAATAGATGCTGCCAACTTCTTTCATGTCAGAAGAGAAAAGAACCACCCTTTAGCTTTGTCGCTGCTCCATTCAAGTCTCCTGCAGTCTTGGGATGCCTGCTGTGTTTATGCTGTACCATGCACTGTATTTTGCAGAGCCAAATCTTAGAGGCAGTGGAGAAGCAGAGGTACTCACGTGTAAACCCTTATGGGAGCTCTGGGAGTCCAGAAGGAGCGTTGAGCTGAAACTATAATGACTGTTGTACCTTCGTTTTGGTCCCCCTAAAAATGGAACGGCTGAGTTTTGTTACCGCCCAGGACAGAAGATGCATGCGTTTCTCTTCCGCGCTCTTTACCACACACAAGTGAATGGGTGCCAGTCTGCTTTCTCCTCTTATTAAAGCTAGGCAAATAAGGGGTGTCTGTGTTATGCTGACAATGCTCATACCTATTCCCTTAATGAATCTCATGAGAAACGGCTATCTGGAATAGACTTCATCTTGTTTCCTTGCCTCTGGAAAACATGTACCTCCTAGAACTGATTCATTTATTTTTTGGAATTGGGATTTGACATTGAAGTTTGGGAACTGCTGATCCTTTCCACACAGAAATGGGTTTGATGTGGGGAAGTCAAAGGACATACGCTTGTATTTTTCAAAGTATGTATTGGGGCAGTTATTTGTAAAATTCCTAGAATTTGGGAATCCATAAACATGTTTTCTATTCAAGAATGCCTTGGAATGATTTAGTTTTCAAATACCAGAGCCCAGTTTGCAGTTCTTAGGCCAGTTAACACATGAGTATGGTAGCCCCTCATGACAGATACGAAGAGAGAATTGCAGAAAGCTGCTCAAAACCCAGTTAGCATTCATGTGAGTCTTGCTTAGAATTAAGTACTTCAAAAGTAAATTCCAACTTTTCCACCTCTGTGCAACATCTTTCATTCGCTGCTCTTAAACTAAACACTTTTTTTGGCAAATCCTGTCTTCGCAAATGTTCAGTGTGACTCGGGGGCTGACAGTGAAACTCACCTGTCTTTTTCCAAGATTTGTGTCTCAGGGCCCAGACACACGAACAAGTTCTTGCGTGCCATCTGATCTGCGGTAACTGTGCGCACATTCTTGGTCCACAGCAAATGTGAGGTAATTTGAGTTAGCTTAGCCTTTGATTAAACTATTAATATCTGTTCAGTACTTTGAAGAGATCAGGAGTCATGCAAGTGCTTGTTAACGTATGGCTTTCTTCAGGAGTGATATAGACCTTATTGTTGTAACACCTCCGGGCACCTGAAGGTAAAGCTGGTTGGTGGCCGTGTCTCATCCGGTAGAGGACAGAAGAACCTGCACGTGTAGACTTGGAAACTCTCAACACCCAAGGAGATCCCCAGCAAGAGGGCAACCCCTGCATCTGAGGCATCTCACAGGAATGCAGGGTGACATTTTTCTGTAAAGGTTGATCTGCATCTTCCTAGTTCAGAGTGGCCCTGAAGATGCTGTGGGAGATGTCAAAGCGATGGCTTCATGCAAATGCATGGGTAAGGAACGTCAGAAACCAGTCACAAAATGCAACAGACACATCTCTGAATTATGGCCAGATACGTCCCACAATTCATACTTATTTATGCAACTAGTGCTCTGACACAGATAAATATAGGAAATGTGTTGAACGTATGGGGAGCTGATCTGCTGGGATTTCTTGTGGCAAATCCAGAGGCACACCAGACGTATGTGGTTGGACTCCCTGTAGCCTCGTGCTGCAACCACTCTTTGCAAATGTGTGGCATGGTGACTGTGACTATGCTTAAAAGGAAAGAGGTGCAGTGAAGGGAAGATAACGATACATGAATGTGAGGTGGCTCAAAGTTGGCAGTACGATGGCAATTTGTATTTCATTTTGCATAATTCCCAGTGTGCCTTGTTTGACTGTGAAGACTAGAGGTGTTTCAGGGTATTTGTTAACTTTATGAGTGGGAAGCTTAGGGAAAGGGTTAACACTGAATATCCAGGGTTTTTATAAGCCAGTCATTATCAGTGGAGGGAGAGTTGTAGCATTATCCCTGGAGTGGAATTCACGTATTTTTTCAGTCCTGCTGCCCTAATGTGTTTTTGGTTTTTTTGGATATGACATGTTTTCCCCTCTTGGAGTTTGCTGAACTATTCCTGTCAGTGTAATGATCCCCAGCTGTTGCTTTAGCCCTAGCTATTTTCATGCTGGGAATGGGAGAAGGAGGAGGAGAGGGACAGAGGCTAGCTTGTTTACCACACTGTTATCTACTTAATTTATCAAAAAATGGCTACTCTAATACTTTCTTTAGCACAAAGTAATTCTAAAAGGAAAGAGTTGCAGACTCTGACCTGCAAGAGCAAGGAGATGTAAGGACTCAACGCATGCAGAAAACAAAAAGAATAGAAACTGGGTGTGGTGTGATGAGTACAGCTGTCAATAGCATTTATGCAGACAATGCTTTGAACTAGTAATGATACCGAGTAAAACTTGCAGTAAGTACTTTCCTGCCCTATCAACTGAATTTTCTTTACAGTTGAACTGAGCTTCGTGTTCAATGGCAGTGGTGCTGGGGTATTGATAATCCCAGCGACTGGGAAGCATGTTAATAAAGCTTGAAAAAACTTGCATGGCTTTGGAATTATTCATGATTTGATAATTATCTATTGTTTATTTTTTTTTGAAGAAAATAGCTGTATTTGTACTTTTAAACAGCAAATGACTGATGCTTAGACTTCCCAGGAGCTGCTGAAAAGCAGATGCGTTTTCAAAAACAGAACTATGATACTTAAGCTCAGATTGCCTGTTTTGCATCCAGGAACAACTTCTGCAGTTAACGTGCTTGTTCAGAGTCCTTGCCAGACAGATGTCACTGTGACTCTCCTGCCCAAAGAAGATAAGGGTCAGTGACAGTTGCGGTTTCTGCTTGTGTCTTTGGATCCACATCAGCCTGCCTGTGTACATCTTATCTCGGTACTTTTATAATCTATAAAATCTGTCACTAGTCACCTCAGATTTTTCAGCATTCTGTCACACCTGCAAGTCATTGATCAACAACTTAACGAATATCTATACTAAAAATAAGTGCCTGCTTAGATCTTTCCTTTCGTGCCCCAACTCCCATCTATCCAGTCTTTTCTAAGCATTGAATTACTGATCTTGTCACCTGCTGCATCAATAAATTTCGATCCAAAATGTTAAAGCAGCGGATTTCTTGGCAAGAACCTT